CCGGGGGCTGGGGGGGCGGGGGTTTTCTGCGGCCGTTTGGGGTGTCTTTAGCGAGGTTTAAGGTACGCAAAACCGGGGTGCTTTGTAGTGTGGGTCTGTGAACAGGCGGGTTTCCTGAGGCAGACTGAAGTGGCTGATTGACCCGTCGCGAAGTTGTCCAGTTGCAGAAGGGCTGCCCGTCAGCCTGGGCTGCTGCACCATTTTTCTCGCGGGGAGCAGCCGCAAGGTGTGTGCAGTACTGAGCCGGACGCCGGGGAGATAGCTTGCAGGAATAATGTCACTGCTTCAGAATCAGAGGCGCCAGACGCAAAATAAGTGCATTCCTTAGTATCAGAAACGAGTAAGCTCTCGGTTTTTATTTTTCGTCGCAATGGTGAATGGGCAAAAAAGAAAAAGGAAAGAAAGGAAAGCTGTTCTAGCTCGCCATGGATTTTGAGCACAGTCTGAGAGTCGGAGTCCCTGAGTGAGGACTGTTAGACCCAAACTAGTCCTGGCGTTTCGGTTCGCTTCCAGCCTTCCCGCACGCAGGGCTGAAAACTGCCAAACCAGACCCTACCCTGGGCTTCTTTAAAGGAGAAAAGGTCATTTTGTGTTTTGAGTTAAAATGGATTGTTCCTTGCGTAGAAAGTGGAAGAAGGGTCTCTGCAAGGTCAAACCCCCTGTGGAAAGAGATTGCTGGATGCCTCGGGTGCAGGATGTCCGGAGAGAGCAGATGGGGAGCTCCTTGGCGGAGGAGCTGGTCCAGCGCGGCGCTGCCTGGATCCCTGCCCTGTGCGAAGCCAGAGAGGGAATCCATTTTTCTGGAGATGCCCTCCTGTCCATATTTTGGAGACTAAAATGAAATGGAAATGCTGGTGGGTGTGGAAAACAAAGTATTCACTGTGTGTCTTTTCCTGCTGAAGACAGGAGAAGCTAGGGAGGTTTGTTTCCACATAGAATTCTTTTTTTAATTATTGAGAAAGGAATTTCAGGTTGAGACTAATTCAAAATGAAACTCTTGTGAAGCACAGCTTACCCCGTTATCTATGTAAACTGCCCGTGTGTGCGTGTGTGTGCGTGTGTGTGTGTGTGTGTGTGTGTGTAAGAGGGTCCTGAATCACTGTGCACCTTGCTTATGACTGTGCTCTCCTTAGGCTTAGATATTTAATAAGCCCAGAAAATGCTGCACTGAAGCAGGTTGGCAGAGGCTGAGGAGGCAGGCGGGAGAAGAGCAGGGCACTGTATACTGCATTTCCACAGGAAAGCAGACCTGGCCTGTGTATGAAATAGACTGCGCTCAAATTGGGCAATGCATGTAGGGCCCTTCGATGAGTCCAGCTACCTCCAACTCCCAAAATAAATTTATAATTGATTTAAATGTATAAAATCTAAGAATAGCCTCTCCTTACAGACCCAGCATGTACATCCAACTGCCTTCTCTGTCCTTGCTCCCTGACAATTAAGCCATGCCCCTGTCATCATGAGAGTTGGCGTTCGTTCCATATAGTGCAGGTTCCTCTGCATTGACAGAGTCATGGAGGAAAGGGAGGCTGAGGTGCTAAAGCTCATGGAGGTTTGGTCTCAGATTCTGTGGCTCACAGGTTGACAGGCACAGAAGGACACATCAGGAGAGACCTTATAAAGCAATTAGTCCAAACCTCTTGTTTTATAGATCAGGAAACTGAAACCCAGAGCATCACACTAAAGAAAAGTCAATTAACTTCTAGGCTAGAGAGTATCACTCAAGAGGTATTGTTGAGTAGGGGTGTTCTCCTCTTCCTGCACCTCTGCAGTCTTCAGCATCCTCGTGGCATTGCTGCAGTCTTCAGATCAATGTCTGCTCCTCCACACGTCCAGCAGGATATCTCCAGGGCCCTTTTTCTGCCTTTTCTCCTTGTACGGCCTCTCATCTCTTTCTGTTGCCCCTCACCTCTAATGCACCACATCATTGGATTTCAGTTTTGGCCTCCTTTGCATCTCAGCTTATCTGGGATCCTAGGGTTTGGGGAGCACCCTCAAACCAGCAGTCCTGTGTGAGAACTGCCCAAGGCCCACCTCCACCCCCCCTCCTCCACTCCCACTCTCCTCCCCAGAATCCTCAGGGAACCCAGCCTTCGGAAACCCTGCAGGTGCTGCCCCACCCCTCTCCCCAGCCAGCTCCCTCCAAAACCAAGGCAGCTGCAGGGATGAGGACCTAGTGGAGTGAGGAGGCTGCAGTGTAAACACACCACAGGCTCTGCCAGCTCTCTCCTGGCTCCTAAAAGGCAGAACCCAAATCCGATGTGCCTGTCACCAGCCTTCATGGACATTCTCCAGATGAAGCCACCTGCCGATGAGGGGAGAGGAGGGAGCTGGAAGATGCAGCAGGCATGTTTATGGGTCTACCCTAAGGTGGCTCTGTAGAGGAGGGTCCTGCAGCTTTGTTAACCCTTCAGACCTTTTTGAAAGCACATGCCTACCTTTTCTGTAACAGCAGTATTTTTCCTTTCATGCACCTTTTTCACTGACTAGTTCAACTGGTGGTACACAGCAGACAGTATGGCCTGCCTTTTTTCTCGTTTTCTCTCTCTTGCTTCCTCCATTTCCCCCTCAGTTTCTCCCTCCCCATCAAAAATGTCTTGAATTCCTAACAATAAAATTCTATGTCTTTAAAGATGATCTGGGCACTCCTGTTCCTTCTCCCAAAACATGTAGTCTCCCAGGTCCTGATAAACAGCCACAGCCAACATCCTCTTATCAAGGTGTCAGGGCATTAGCAAGGGGTGTGGAAGGCCAACCTGGAGGCTCTTTCTGTTCTGATAGAGGAGCTAAATAGTCTTAGATGGTGAATGAATTTCTCAGCATATTTACCAAATGAAAATATAATCTAACTTCTATCTTCTTGGTAGAACTTTACAAATTGGGATGAATTCTGTCTTGCATTCTATTCCTAAAAATGTCCTTGGTTAATTATGTGCTATCTGGTCTTGCTGTCCCATTCCAGGTTATTCTGAACATGGGTAGCCTGTGCAGAGATCCAATCTTTGAATCTCTAAATGCCATACTTTGATTTTCTGTGCATGGATCACTTTCTGTAATTGGATAAGATGACCAGGAATGTTGTTGGGAATGTTGTCCTGAGCAACTACAGTTCTTACTTTGGGTTGTGTATGGTATGGATTCATACATTTGTGAAGGAGCTCCCCGAGGAGTTTTGTAGGGTGATGGACATCAATACCACACATGTGTTTCCTAATTGATAAGACATATGTATATATATTATTTTTTTCATACCAGGAATCAAACTCCAGACCTTATACTTGGGAGGCAGGCAGTGGCACCACTGAGCTAAATCCCTGGCCCAAGACAGATATATCTTAAAGCCCTTTTAAAGGTGTTTTTCTTTCTTTTGAGTAATTTTTAAACTCCTTAAATTAGTGATTATCTAGAAATAAATGAATACTGTTTTTTAAGAAGAGATCATGTTCAACTAATACAAAGTTGAAATAGATGCTATCCATCACAGTTACACAGAGTAGATAATTTAGGAAGTATCAAATGATGCAGAGGTAAATTAGTGAACCATTACTATTTCCAGTTAGTAGAGTAAATGTGCTAGATAGGAGACCATATAAGTTACCAAATCTGTCCATCCAGCACATTAAAAATATATATAATATTTAAGGAAAATTTTTATCCTGAAGACACCTATAGCAGGAAATCACCATGTGCAAGGGCAAAAATTAAAATGACTTTTTCATGTTTCCACAGTATCTGTACAATGCATGTCTTTTATAGCAGAAACTCAATATTTGTCAATTAAATATCAGTTCTAGTAAGAATCAGTTGAGTGTACAATGTTAATTATATTAAAAATTAAATAATTTCTACTAATACATGTTCACAATTAACATTGCTTTAAATATATTATTAAAAGAAAATGCTAGGCTATAGATTCTTTTTTTTTTTTGGTACCAGGGATCAAACTCAGGACCTTGTGCTTGTAAACTATAGATTTGTTACAATTGATTTTTAGTAGAGATACAAAAGCACTCTGTTAGTACCTTTAAGAGTAAAATGCCTTTTAATTCACTCATGTGTATCCTACCTTTTATTTTCAATAAATAAAGATAAATTTTTAACTGCTTACAGAATTGATGCTGATAAGTCAAAGAGAAAACAGTGACCTAGGCTGTGGCAGATGCATGCTCCACGTATCTGGATGGTGGCCTCTTGAGCAACTTGGGATTATTTTAATTATTTTAACACGTGCATACTGTGAAGAGACACAGCACTGCCTTCCTCATTTACAGATTGTTTGTAAAGATGATTTATTGTCTCTTAAGTCTAGTATAATAATTTGAGTTGCTCCCAGCTTAATTCATTGAGAAATTTACTGAGAAGGATCTTGGGGGTGCTTTAGAAACTATTTAATGAATGAAACAGAAACAGAATAGCAAATTAGTGAGGGATTCTCAAGGAGGTTAGAAACTTTAATGATAAACCACCTCTGAATACATCAAAGAGGTGTTCTGTAGCCTTATCAGCTAACTTTTTTTTTTTTTTTTTTCTTGGTACGGGGGATTGAACTCGGGTCTTTGCGCTTGCAAGGCAGGCCAATTTATCAGCTAACTTAAAGCACACAAGACTCATAATTGCCATGATTCTTAAAGGGCTTTTCTCTGGGTTGTTTTCCCACTGCCCTGGTTTGCAGCAGCCCGAACACTAATGAACTGCTGTGGAAAACCACTTGTTTATTTTTGTTAAAAGTAATGCATGGTATTTTCAATAACTTGGATTATTTCCAAGTGAGTAGTCCGCTCCGTTTTGTTCTAATTACAGTTAAGATTTG